CTGGGGGCCCTCGCCGGCCCTCGGGACCGTCCAAAAACGACTCGGGGTGAAAACCCGGTCCTGGGGAGGGGAGTGGGTCGAGACTTCCGGGGACCGCGTATTGAAAAAATCACAGCATCGGATCTCTGGGTTCTCCCATGACAGAGGTCTCGACCCAGTCCCCGGGACCGGTCTCTCATGCTGAGTCGTCTTTTGACGGCCCCGTGGCCTAGACACGGCCCCCAAAGGCCAAGATGACAAAACACCTCCCGACACGATTGTTTCATGAGGGGGTCTGGGAACGTCATCCTGAGTTGTGTTTTGACAGTCGCGTGGCCCGGAAAGGGCCCCCCGAGACCGAAAGTGGCAAAGGACCTCCCGACACGATTCTTTCATGACTCGAGGGGGTCTGGGAATCTCATCCTCGTTGTTTGACGTTCCCGTGGCCTGGAAAGGGCCCCCCGAGGCCGACAACGGCAGACAAAAACTGCCGCCCCGATTGCTTCATGACTCGAGGGGGTCTGGGAAGACCCGCCCTCCCGAGCGCCGCGGGGCGGAGCTGAGGAGGAAGGGGAGGACGACGACGACGGACGACGACGACGGCCGACGACGACGACGACGACGACGACGACGACGACGACGACGACGACCACGACGACGACGACGACGACGACGACGACGGCGACGACGACGACGACGACGACGACGACGACGACGACGACGAGCGCCGCGGGCCGAAGCGGCAGCGAGCCTGATGCCGCTCGCCGGCGCCCGCCCCGGCCACGGCCGGCGCCTGGGCTCGCTCGGCCTCCTGCCGCGGAACCGCCGCCGCGGCCGCCGCCGCGGCCGCCGTCGAACGGCCGCCGTCGTGCTCGCCGCCGCCCGTCGCCCTTGACTGAAGGGGCCCCAGGACACACAAATAAAGACACACAAATAAAAAGATTCCCCATATTTTCCCATAATTTCTGGGATTTCGTCTTCCCCCCCACTCCCCACATTTTCCTATATTTTCTTGGGAATCGACGATTAATTGTGTCTGTGTGTTTTTTCCCCTCCTGATTGATGCTCGCCGCCGCTCGTCGCCTCGGGGAACAGGTGATGACGCAAACCTGAAAACTCGGAGGTCCGCTCGGATTCCTCGGAGATCGGCGCGGGAGCCTCTCGGCGGCGCCTCCGGCGCAGGCCACTGGCGCGCTCGCCGCGCCAGGGAGGGGTCTCCAGCGCCGATCGGAAAAAAAAATCCGCACAGGCCTCCGAGTCTGTAGGCTTGTGCCATTGCCTGTTCCCCGAGACCCGGCCCCGCACCTCGGCGGTTTCAATATGGGGCCCTGGGGGGATGTGGTCCTGAGGACGAGGGGCCTCAAACAAGGCAGACCTACCCTTGGACCCCTTCCTACCCTTCGGACCATCCCTCAGGACCCCACCCCAGACCCCCGACGTAATGATTTTTTCATTACGTCGGCCCCCAGAGGTCCCGACCCTTCCCCCATGGCCGGCTTTGCATCCTGAGTCGTTTTTTGACGCTCCCGAGGCCCGGTGAGGGCCCCCGGAGGCCGAAAATTAGGAAAAACCTCCCGTCGCGATTTTCTCATTACTCGAGGGGGTCTGGGGACCCCACCTCTGGACCACCGATGCCCATCGCCGCCAGCACCGCCGGCCGCCGCGGTCGTCGTCCGCCGCCGCCGCGGGCGGCGACGCCGCCCGCGTCGGCGGCGATGCCCGCAGGTCCTGGCGCAGGGACGCGGCCGCGCCGGCCGTCTGGTCGCCGGCGGAGACCACGACGGCTCCCCCCAGGGCGAGGCCGAGCTCCGGCGGAGCGCGGGCCGCCCGGGCGCCGACGGTGACGCCGCCGAGGAAGACGAGGACGCCACCGACGAGGCCGAGGAGCGCCAGCACGATGCGCCGCATCGCCCTCGCGGTGCGCAGCGCCGACCCCCCAGCCTTCCTCCCCTCGTCCCCGCCTTCCTCCCCTTCGCCTACTCCTGCTCCTTCCTTTCGTTCGCTCCCCCCCCCCTTGCCGCCTCCCTACCTCCCTCTCCCCCCCCCTCCCCCTGCCCCTTCTCTTTCCTTTCTCCCTATTTTGCCCCCCCCCCACCCCCCCTCCCCCCTCCCTCACTGCACTCTGCTATGCCCCTCGAAAACAGAAGCCCCAGTGGTCGTCCAAGAAGGAGAGGAGGATTGTGACAGAGGAGAAGGGCATAGCTTGAAAGAGAAGGACCAGGAAGGGGAATTGCATGGATCAGCAGGAGGTAAACAGGGACGCAAGGAAACGTGGTCAAAACTGGCAGGTGAAGAATGGATGGCAGGAGGAGGATGGATGCGGAGGAGGAGTACGACGAGGAGGAGGAGGAGGAGGAGGAGGAGGAGGAGGAGGCGGAGAAGGACAAAGGACGGATGCACGAAGAGCAGCGGGAGCAGCTGGTCGACGACGAAGACAACGACGACGACGCCCTCGGAAAACCCCGGAGGTCCTCGGGGGCCCACAAGCAGGAAAAGGGCCACGATCCTCGACAGGGTCGGG